GGTATGGGTCGTAAATGATGTTGTGTGTTATGAGTTCTCTTCCACCCAGACCTAGAGAAGAAGAAAATGATTGGTCTACTTTGGTCTGGTTCAAGGATTGTGTACCCAAACATGCTTTTAACATGTGGATCACAAACCTTAATAGACTCCCAACGAGGATGAAATCAGCTTCTTGGGGCCTAAATATTGATACAGCTTGTTACCTCTCTGCTAGGTGGGAGGAAACAAGGGATCATCTTATGGTAACATGTGACTACAGCTCTGTGATTTGGCTTCTGATTTTTGCAAGGTTGACAACCTCTCAACACACACTGCGATCATGAGCTGAATTACTGTCCTGGATAAGAACATCCTCCTCCGCTGCACCAACACTCTTACGCTCAATCACTGCCCAAGTCACAGTCTTCAACATCTGGAAACAGAGAAACAGTGTGTTGCATAATCTACATTCAATCCCGCCTCAAGCTATCTCCAGGTTGATCGATAGAGATATCCGGAACATCATCAACGCAAGATGACGCCGACGTCATTTTCGTAACTTGATGTCCTTTTTGGCTACGATAATCTGTAACACCCCATAGAGTTTCTTTCATCTAAGTTATGTTCTCCTTGTCTTTTATTTATTTTTTGCCAAGAGAGCATTGTAATAGGTTGTTCTCTTTGTATCACCTAACATTTCATTTTATATGATATTAATATTCTTAGAAAAAAAAAAGATAATTTTAAAATGTATAACCTTAACCAATGCATTATATTGCCATTCCAAATGAGTTTGAAAGGTCTTGAGTTCGAAAAAAACCCTAGTTTAACTAATTTTGGGCAAAGAAATATAACTATATGACTTTAGGTTCGTAAGAGACAGTGACTATAGGTGAATGACATATGTTAATGACCGAGTTGTCTTACGTTGAACTACGACACAATATATAATTCACCATCATCTACTTTTTCTATTGTTTATCAAATTCCTCCTATTAGGATTGGGCAAATTATTCGTTAAATTCGATCCGATTCGGTATTCGTTTCGATCTGATCCGAAAAATCAAGATATCCGTTTTGAATCAAAGCGAAACAAATAGTAAAATTTAGTATCCGTCTAAACCGAAGCAAATAACAAATACTAATTTTTAAAAATCTGAATATCTGATCCGTATATTACTTATATATACATATAATATGGTAGAATTATAACGTATTACATTGAATCGTATAAAAAAAAATAGATATCCGTCAAAAACAAATCGAATCACAAATATTGCATTTTTTTCGGATGTCCGATCCGCGTCCAGCCTACCTCCTATCAATAGACAATTTCTAATATATAAATGTTTTTGCTTCATGCA